GTGGATTCAACCTACCAACAACAATTAATTCAATAAAGAGAGTTCAAGCTTTCTTACCATAATTCAAAGTCATAGCCAAAATCACCAAAAATCCAAGCAATCACCAATACTTCACTCATAAGGCTTACCACCCTTAATTCACCCATTATCAACAATTAATCATGAATAAACATTAAACAACACAAGAGATATTAATACAATTCACTTTACACATAATTCCATCAACTTTGAATTTATAGAAATAGACCCACTTCATAAACACATTTTGGGGTTTTGTAGAATACAAGGATTCATGGAGTTTTTCATCTTAAGACATCAAATAAACATCAATAATATCATAACTTATCATTTGAAATCATTTCATGCAAGAACCCATGAGTTTGAGTAGAAATTAGGCTTTTTCACAAACTTTGGAAAAGTTGAAAACCATTTGAAATTGGCTCTAGGGTGATAGTTTGCCCTAGATAAAGAACTCCCATACCTTTACTAAGATTCCCCAAGAAATTTGATGAAGAAAACGTCTTGCATCCACAACCCTAGCTCCCACTTCTTCTTCTTCTTCCCTTCTTTCACTCAAGAACCCTAACTCTTACTCTTTTAAAATGGAACAAAAATGATCCACAATCAGCCTAACACAACAATATAACCTCAAAAGAAATGATTTGTGAAAAGACCAAAATGCCCTTAAATTTCCGGACGGACTCCCTGCCAAACTGCCCAACTTTCAAAGGGCATAACTCGCTCATACGAACTCGGAATCGAGCAAACGCGGTGGCGTTGGAAAGATTGTTCCAAGGGATTTCCAAAAATAACTGGAACTACTCCTGGATCATCCTGATCTAGGAGTTATGACTGCTCAAAGTTGGCCAAAAACTCACTAATTTCCACACTTGGCCGAATTTCCAGATTCTGAATTTTTTTCCAAAAATGACTACTTCCAATTTCAAGCTTCTTCATATTCATTTTAAATTGTAGGATGTTACACATAGTTTCCGCATCTGTTTCACTATTATATATGTGTGTGTGTGTGAGAGAGAGAATGTGGGACGGAGTGGGATAGGACAGCTTAGGTTGAAAACAATTTATGAAAAATTAATCTATCTAAACAAACATAGCTACTTATTAATAATACATAGCTATATTTAAAATATAACCTAACATAGTTATACTTACGATTTTCTTATATGAATTTTATTTTTAGAATCTAACTCTAGATTTTATTTTTAAAAATATGGATGTGGGACGGAGCAGGATAGGACAACTTAGGTTGAAAATAAAAATTTTAAGGAAAAAAACATAGCTACTATATTTATAATACATATCTATAATTTTAAAATATTATCTAATGTAACCGTACTTAGGGTTTTTATATCTAATATATCATCTCTTGCTCTCCTCTTTTCCTCTTCCTCTATCTGTCCCGCTTCATAGGTTGTATAATTTTGCTATTTATTCTTCAAGATTGTATTTAATTTTAATCTTAATACAATTAGTTAATCGTATATGAATTAAATCGATAGAGAAAAATCACTCACCGAGTTCCTTGTGTTTTTTCCCAATCTGAAGACATCTCAGCTACTAAAATTGAAAAGGATAAAGAAATTGTGAATTTTCCTTTATTGAAACAAAGAACATGTAATTTTTGTTGTATCTTTATTAATTCATATTAAAATAATTAAAATCCAAAATATTAGTTTTATTTCTTTTCCTATTGACAACACAATAAAGTAATTATATTAGGTATAGTAATATACAATTGTGTAATGACGAAATTGATATAGTATGAATTAATATGTATCACTTTGAAATTATTATCTAAACTCTTCTGACTGAATATAATAAAGCCTTTAAACATAAAGCTACTATCATTTCTTCATTAAAAATTGAGATCTTCTTCGAACTTGATGCACAAATAGATAGAATAGCAGCAAATAGCATATTTCTAGCATGCATATTCGTGAAACTCAATCTCATTTAAAAATAACAACTAATACATGTTGGCTTGATTTCTCTATTGATATACAAAGATATAATTTTGAAAAGAAATTGATACAATTTGATATAGATACCAATTTTTTCGAATTATATCTGATATGTGTGTATATATATGTCTATCTGTTTTTTACAGTTTCAAATCTAAGTATTGAATTCATAATTCACATTTTCAATTTTATGTATCATACATGTCTATGATACATATGTATATATGTGTTTTATACTCTTTTTATATCAACGTGTATCTATTTCATAGAGTGCATGTATCAATTTTTAGTATCATACATATATCAGATATACATGTACATGTGTGTTTTTGTGTTTGGTTGATAATTCATCCATATGCGTATCTATATATCTATGTTACAGTTTCAAAGTTAATATTATATGTATCGGCGTGCAATATTGAGAGAAAGATTCGAACAATATTTTAGAGATACATATAGGAGAGATGTACAAATACGAGTTGTATCAATATGCATACTATATTAGGTCGTATCTTAGATACAATATCTATATCTTGCATTTCTCATTTCTCTTTCCAAACTCTCTCTCAATCTCAAACTCATTCACTTCTCTCAAACTATTGCTATGAATTGTAATTAAGTAAACTATAATTTGATATTCATAATTATGATACAAACTATAACTATCTATGAAAATTTCTCAAATAATTTTTGTTATGTGCAACAGGGCATGCGAAGTTTTAGCAAGTTTATGCGGATTTGATCTGCCTGCACGTTTGCTATCCTTGTTTGTGTTGATGTTTTATATTATTGGGCGCTAATTAAAAGTTCTATGTTTTGAGTAACTCTCAGGGTGTGTTTGGTACGAAGGAAAATATTTCCTTGAAAAATAGTTAATTTTTCTTTTTTTTTAGTGTTTGATAAGCAAATAAAAAGATATTATTCCATTTATTTTTTCATATTATCTAGCAAAATATTATAAAGATGAAATGCAATGGGATATGAGTGAAGGTTCGGGGGTGGCATGGGGTGGGATGGTCAATAGTGGTGGTTGGGGGGGGGGGGGGGATAGATGAAGAAGAGACAATAAACTATTCCACCAAGTTGTTTTCTGTACTTCTAAAAGGGAAGTCAATTTCTTGAGAAAAAGTAAAAAATAGTCCCTTATCTTTGGGTTAAGATTCAAAGTCATTCTTGAGTTTTACATGAAGCACTAGTAGTTCCTCATTATTAGTATTGGTTATTTTTTTTTATCTTCCCCCAAACTTTTCCCTATTTTTTAACGTTGATTTTGTCCACAATTTTATGTATGAGATGTTCAATCGTCTTTTATATATTTAGTAGAAATAATAACTTTATGTGAGAGAAGGTGAGAAGAAGAACATCATGTTCTATTCAGTAGAAATATTATTGCAGCTAAACTAAGAAAACTTGGCATATGACGTTGTAAAAAAATGAAAAATTATACTATTACACATGAAATCGACGTGGTGAACCTCACAATTTTAGTTACAATAATATTTCTACTAAATAAAACAAGATGCTTTTAAATACGATACATTATGAAAAATAAGCAAAAACCATCCAAACAAAGTAAGACAATTAAAACGAGTCCGGAAACAAAAGGGCAACAAAAGTTTTCGAAAATTTCAAAAAGGCAACTAAATTATTTTTCAAACCAAAAGGGCAACAAATTTTAACAACGTTTAAATCAGAGTTTCCGCCGCAAGGTGTAGAAACTCATGAGCCTTACAAGGCGCAACAACTTTTAGCCTTGTAAGGCTCAGTCGGCTCAGCCGCCTTGAGCCTTACAAGGCGCAAGGCTGCTTGTGCGTTGTAGGCTATTTTTTTTTAAAAAAAAATTGATTTTATTTTCTTGAGTTGTTATATATATATATAACAATAAGTTTTATTCTTATTTTAAAACCATCATTGAATTCAAAACTAATATTTGAGTCTAGAAATTGGACGTAAGTCATGTTTTGGGTAAGAGAGATACATTTGAATTCAAAACTAATATTTGAGCCATTCCTTGTAGTTATAATTATCGTGTCCAATATAGATCTGGTACTAAATATAATTTTTGTCACTAAAAGTAAATAGTTAGTGACGAATTTCATGTTATAGGTAATAATATTATAGTTATATATCATATTTGTTGTATTGTGTCATGTCCCTATGATGTGTGTTTTTTGATACCCTTTAGTTTGTTGACTACTTAAACACGAGTTTGCATGGAATGACTCTAACCATTTGTAGTGATCGATGTATAAAGAAAGATGTTATACGCAAGCATCGTCCATATATTAGTATAAATATTATAGTTTTTTCAATATAATAAAATGATCGTGCATCTATTTATTTTTTATAATATAAAGAGATTTATATAGAGTTGCTTTAGCCCTGATAAGAGTGACAAACACGAAAACACCTAGGCAAATAGTTTTGAACTAGATGAGTGTTGCCCGTGCAACGTTTAAAATTTTATCATAATTTTACTTCTGTTTGATATCTAGGGTCCATCAGGGTTCCAGGAGAGTAGAAGGGGTTGCAATACACAAAATTCTACAATACCAAAACAATTCAGTTTACTCTTGAATCTAGCCATAGCTACACAATAATAGGAAAAAACTAAAAATAACAATCAAAACATCGAAAACTCGAACTTTATCTGGGATTCATTGATTTTCCCCAGTAGAGTAAAAGGGGTTTGCAACAAAACACAAAATTATACAGTAGCAAGACAATACATTTCACCAAGATTCCTTAACCAAGATGAAAATCCCCTTCAATACTAAAATCTCAGTTTGGAATTAGTTCCATACATACGAATACATGTTAGCCATAAAACATTGTGGCTACTTTCCATGTACATTTCGATTTCAAAAAATAGCGTATTTATAATGGATCTATAATTAATGAGTTTAAACACATTATAGCTGCCAAATTTGTTCATTATATATTCAGTGAGATACTTACATAGTTTAACATTTCCTTATGTGGGAGTGCTAATTACATACATTTACATATTATTTTAAATTAGACAAAAACAGATGCATCTTTCATGCTTGGATTTTCTGGATCATCTTTGATCAAAATCACCTGTTACATTAAAATTGAGGGATTAAATTAGACAAAAACAGATACATCTTTCATGCTTGGATTTTCTGGATCATCTTTGATCAAAATCACCTGTTACATTAAAATTGAGGGATTAAATGTCACAGAATCACATAATTTATACGACATAGAATGAGCATGATGAGAAGTAGTGAAAGAAAAAAACAAAGCCAAATGTTTAGAACTTAAAGCATGAATTACAAATGTATGAAATGAGATCTAAGTTAAAGATTAATATTATAGTAAAAGATTGGAAAAAAACAGTTAAGAAAGCACAGTGACAATATGACCAAACAAACTGGAACAAAGCTCAATAGGCTTAAAAAATGACAATACTCATCCAAGATTTTAACCCATATAGGCGAAGAAAATCTTGGTAATTCATAAGATACAACTCAAACTATATTATATATAAGACTAAAGGAGCATTATTCATAAAGAAATTGATTCAAAATTGTGACAATAATGTCAAAGGATTAATCAATCTGGACAAAAAATTATGAATTTTTTTTAATTTAGTTTAAACTTGTGTTGGAGAAATTTAGTTCAAGAGATTCACATGTAGATCTTGAGCAGATACTATATGGACATATGATCGCGACTATAAGAATCTCAAGTATCGATCAATCATGAAGAGGTAGAAACCGAGTAACTGAACCAAAATTTTAACTCATATAGACAAAGAAAATATAATATGATGCAAAAATAAAATCTGATGAAAAATTATAAGAATTCGTAAAGTTTATATAGTATTGAGAAATAGCATTGCAGTAACAGTGTTTGACCAAAGTCTATGGCAGAATTTGGATCAATTTTATTATTTTAATGAGGCTTACTTCATACAGAAAGTGCTAATTGACTGATTTGGAGGGTAGGGGGAGAGTGAGCGTAACCATATAGGGTTCATCACAAGCAAAATATAAAATAACATAACATGTGCAGAGTATATAGTACTAAGTCTCATCTAGAATTAGCATAAAGCTTTCCCAAGCTTTGCATGTAGTATATAGGATTATTCTCATCATCTTTTTCTAGATAGATAATGTGAAATCATGGACTAAACATTAATCAAGGATAATCAAAGTCTTTCTATGGTTGAAAGATTCAAATAATAATATACATATAAGAGGATTAATTATATCTTGTTATTTTTAATTTAGACAAATTTGCAGAAGAAATATAAATCAAAATAGGCAAACAGTTTTACCAAACAGGTTTGATTTCACAAGTTTTTAATTATTAATTGTTATTTTGTATTGTAGTTTTTGATTCTATCAGTTTAAGGTGGTTATTCCAACAAGATCAATAAAGGAAAGTTACATCATCTTTTAGGAACTAAAAATGAACACAATAGTCTTTAGTCATAACAATAATTATAACAACAGAAAGAATATATTTTCATTTAAGTTGATAAATGGAGTACCTGTAAAAAGATAATTTTTAACTAACCTGCTATTATAGGAGAAAATATTTTCAATTTCCGCAAAAGAACAGGAACATAAGGCATCCACATAGCAACATCAAAAGCTTGAAAAACACGGCATACAGTGGCAGCAGCAAAAGAGTGCAAAAAATGACTGTTTCGAGAAGCACAACAAAAGTGTTCCAACTGCAATTCAAAACAATCAAAGATAATGTGTCTAGAGACTGAATTGAATTCAAAGAAAATAAATACAAAGAGAAGTAAATCCTATTTATATTAGTCAATTGCAAAGATGAACTTTTAAACAATGTACAAAATAATTCAAATACCTTTTAATCTTTTTCATGGGAGGATTTTTCATTTCCATGCTTGGATATTCTTTTTCCCTGAACTAAGATGTTCAATTGTGCGCTTTTTCGCATCTGTAATATTGACTGTCGTAGATGCCATTGATTTATGAATCACATCTTGTTTCTCCAGGTAAGACAAAATGGATAATTTTTGCGTTGCATCCAATTTTTTTGTGAATAGCCTTTTTATTTGAATGTTAAATATCTTGCCGTTCAATTCATCTTTCACATTTTGGAGGGATAATGTTTCTTTCTGAAAAAATGGAAAAGAATGATAATAATAACAAAATCATTAATATTTCATATATTATATATATAATAATAAGAAATAAAGCGAACAGACAAATCGAAAGAGATCCGATATTTTTACCATAAAAGAAGATGTTCAACAACAATATCATATGCAAGGATCGTGAATTTTCAAATAAAAAAAAAGTGGATGAGGAAAGAAAAGTGAATCACAAAAAAGATATTAAATTTGTTTTAAAAGGAAAATCAATATCTCTATGTTTATGTATTTACATCTGAACTCAAATTCAATATTAAAGGTCTTTCAACTAATCAGAGCCACACATGCAGCAGTTCTAAAACGGTGACGCCTATTGTGGTAGGTGCGCATGACAGCTTAGGCATAAAGTTCTCAGCCAATGGGTAGCTATGTGAGATGTTATAAAGAAAGTTAACTGTAAACATACAACAAAAAGTATAAGTTGGGTGATTCACGAGATATTTGTCTATTGAAGGTAAGTTTCCATTCCCACATCATTTACAACATTCTATGCTATTTGGTAAGGAACTGACGAGATATTGTTGGAAAGTTGTGGTCTCAAGTTCTTGCTACTATAAAGGTCTTCACAACTTACATTATACAAAATGAATCTTTATTACAAATTTTCTTATGCTAGAATTCTAAGCCTATAAAGCTATAGTATCCTTTTCAAGTTAAGGAAGTCATATGTTCACTTAGTTGAAACTCTTAAAAGTTAGATAGTATATTTTTCACATAATTAAAGAAAGTAATTGGCCATAATTTAATTACATATATACATATATGATTAGTAATCTAAAAATAAGTAATTGATAATTACATATCTTCACACGCAAGATAAGATTATAGCCTACTTTATAATGTATGGTAGATATTTTTAGGATTACTACTTGCGATGTTATTATGTGCATTTAATTTAGACAGTAGTGAGTTAGAACATTTCATCGTAGATTCCTTTAACTGTTACAAGCCAGCGGCAGAGTTTATAAGAAAATACAAAATCAGAACAGGTTTTTTGTGATTATTTGGTGAGCAAAAAGTAATATGTACCTTGACGAAGAAAATTTCATAAATTTCTTCTGAAGTGAGGTGCAATATTTTCTCTGCAATTTCATCCGAAACAATAGCTGTTGCAAAATCGTTGTTGTCCTTAATAGTAACTTCAAATTGACATCTGTTTTGATAATTAATGAAAATATTTTAAAATAATGATTAGTTAAGACATTTATTTCTTTGAACAAACAAAATAAATAATCTTAATTAGTAATTATTAATTTTGTAGAAGAGCAAATATACCTAGGAATAAGATGTGTGGATCGGTGACAACTTGTGCAGTATATTTCTCTTCGCACATTATATCTCGTGAACAATTGCTTACAATTTGAGCATAAGAACACACTAAAGCGTTGATCCTTACTTGCAAGGGACAATTCAACCTCAATATTAAATACTTGTCCCTTCAAATTGAATATACCAAATATTATTTTTTACAGGGAAATTAAAAAAAAAAATTAAAAATAGAATAATATATTTGTTGTTCTCACTGGAGGTTGTGCCTGGATGTTAGCCACATATATAACTTCATCCTCAAATGGAATCAACATAATAGAGCCTATTGGAGTTGTACTTTTCATCTTATAAGAAACAAGCTTTGCTTCAATTGTTTTGATCCTATAAACAAGTAAAAATACGAAAATTTATTAATATTAGCTCATCCAAAATAAAAGAAATAAAAGTGAAATTTTAAAACTTTGTGATTGTAAGATTAAAGATGTTTTTTATATCTCAAAATATTCTGAAATTTCGATGCATTAAATAAAAATGTATATTATCACGTCCTTAACTCAGCAGCCTATGGATATGGAGGATTGATTTCAATTGTTGTATTGAATTTGCTCGTCAAACCAACGAATCTATTCGACATTCCTATGTGCATTTGAATATGTCATTTTAGTTTCATCATGTCATCTATTTTTCAATAAAGGAAAAAATAAATTTATTCGCACTTTTACCTGAGGATGATTTCCTAATTTTCCTAGCAAGAATGATCGGGTAATCATGAAGTTGGTTGAAAAGTTTAACTCCCTCATGATCAATAAAATCCTCCCAAAGTGTCAGTTTTGTTGGTTTTTTCCTGCATATGTTTTGAAGGATGTTTTCAAACATTAAAGTTGCAGAAGATATGTGATATTGTAAAAACATTATAAATAATAAAATTCAAATCAGATTATTATTAACAAATACCAGCATTTTTGTGCTATAAAAGTCAAAATATAAGATCCACGAACAAAGAAAAGAGTTGAGTTGGACAGCGAAATTGATGAACTTTTTAATCTATCAAAGTACTACAGGTATTCAAAGTGATTGAAAATTGAGATTCACAGACACTTAGTCTCACTGATTGGAGATTGTGAAGAAAATGAAGAGATGATATTAGTCTATGATTACATGGCTAATGGGCCATTGAGAGAGAACCTTTACAAGCACATTAAGCCACCCTTATGATGGAAGCAAAGGTTGGATATTTGTATTGGTGCAGCTAGAGGTCTTCACTATCTTCACACAGGTGCAAGGTACACTATCATCCATAGGGATGTGAAAACTACAAATATTTTGGTGGATGACAAGTGAGTGGCAAAGGTTTTTGATTTGGATACTTGGATCCAGAGTACTTTAGAAGACATCAAGTAAAAGAAAAGTGTGATGTCTACTCGTTTGGGGTTGTCCTATTTGAAGTATTGTCTGGAATGTCAGCTCTAAATGCTAGGACATACAACATGTGGGTTAAGGGGAGGTAGAGTGTTCACAAACTTTACCCTTCCGAGTACAACAAATCAAAGTAGGTATGAAAAAGAAATACTGCATGACAAGAACATAATATCTACCAGGAACCTTAATAAACTTGGATATCATTAGCTGTTGATCAAAATTCAATCTTGATCTTTAAGAAATAAGAGAAAATCATACCAGAGAAAACAAATCAAACATGGCAACCAATATATTTCTTTTTAATAGACTATCTCCACAATATTGGGAAGTTAATTCATCTAAAATAAAAAGGGCAGGAACAAACCAGGAATAAGATCAATCCTTATTAAAACTGAACCTTTACTTCACTCTATTGATTGACTACAGTAGAACCATGAGAACTTTTTGAACCTAAAACCAATTGTTTATATATGATATTATTTAGCAAAAAGCAAAAAAAGCAAGTAAACACAGGAGTAACTAAAACATGGTATAAAGTAGGCAGATCTGCAACTTTCACATATCCAGATTCATCCCATAATATGTTTGCCATTTCACTCAGAAATTAAAAGCTTTCCAGACATTGAACAGGCTTACTTCAGTCACCAATAAACAAACAAAGCATGAGACCGTGAAACAGCCAGAAAGACTTAACAGAATCAGTCTTCAGGTCTCAATCAATTATTGCGTCAGGATCAGGCTTCAGGTCTCAATGAATTATTGCATCAGGTTTATGTTTAGAATCAAGATCGAAACTTTAATGGTTATGGCATTTTTACAGAAGCTAGTGGAATGAAGAAGATGAACAAGGAACAACATAAAAAGCAAATAAGGAGTTCACAAAGTTTCAAACAGCATTTTGATATAGAAAAGGTCAACAAAACACGTGGAAAGATCACCACCGCGGATCTCTTAAGTGATGGATTAAATCAAAGTTGTAAGAGACACATAGATACAACTATTAGAAAGATAATTTCAGATTATGTTTTTTAATATTATTATTTCTTTAAAACAGAGACATCATTATCATATCTTATCATTTTGTTTTGGCCCATCTAAAATCCCTTTTCTCTGCAAGAAAATCTACACTTTATGTTATCTTTATATATTAATTATAATAATTCTATGTTAAATGTAACCTTCAGTATATAAAGTCATCTGAAAGCTGTATATATTTTGGAATTTTGTATTATTATTAGCATCATATCAATTGAGTAACAGTACACACTACTAAAAAAAATTTGTAACCTTTTGAATTAATTTTAAAACACTATCAACCAAAAAGAACCTTTCTTTGAAAACAACTAATAAGATATGAAGATAAATGACAAGAGTAATATTCTATATATACTTACAGCTTGTCCATGATAATAAACTCTTGAATTAGTTTTCCAGTTACAGTCCTTGTTGAAGGACTATTCAATCACATTACTCTAACAAAAGAGAGGGGAAGATGCAGAAACAAACCAAAAGAAGAAGAAGAAGAAGAAGAAAAAGACAATCTTCGCAAAAATAAACAAGAACAGTCCTAAAACTACAATTAAACTCCGAAAAAGTAGTAACCATTTGGAGAAGACGTCTACAAAGACAACGTTACTGAAACTCAAAAGAATTAATCACTTTATTAAATACAAGTATATACATCAACTACGAAAATGGAAAAGAAAAAAAAAACACTATCAACCAAAAAGAATCTTTCTTTGAAAACAAGTAATAAGATATGAAGATAAATGGCAAGAGTGATATTCTATATATTCTTACAACTTGTCCATGATAATAAACTCTTGAATTCGTTTTCCAGTTGTAGTCTTTGTTGAAGGACTACCATTAATGACAATGGCGAGTACATCTTGCATTAAACAAAAATAAAGAAAGAATAATTAGATCATGAGAAATATTCTATTATAGTAACAATGGATTTTATGTGAATAATAAGAATAATTAAATAAATTTATAAATACCAAATTCAAATTCTTTGGGTTGATACTCAAAAGTGTCAAATGTGGTAAGAGCTAGTCGTGTTGGTGGTGGTAATGGATCTTGTGGAGGTTTGACCTCTTCAACTGGTTCAACAATGGTGTTTTTATCGAGTGTCCAAATGAATTTGTTAAGTGAATTTTCATATCCAAGAGGTGGCACTTTCACATGTGCAACAGATACCAAGTAAGTCTTGAAAGGAGCAAATTCTTTTTCAAAACATGTTATATCAGTACTGTAAATAGTGGCCTGAACTTGATTCTCCTGTAAAAGAATTTGTAAAAAGTTTGATTAGTTGTGTAAAATTTAAAAGTTATTTATTATTTTTCATATTATTAAAGTAAAAATATAAAATAATGGATTATTTAGTTAACTGAAGTAAAGTTACGGTTTTAAAATCAATAATAAATTAATAAAAATAAATACCTCTTCATCTTGCAGAATTAAGAGTTGGTATTTTGTGGTTTTATCTTTGTTGTCCCTTGGTCGACTTTTATCAACAACTTGGACTTTACAGGTCCAATCTTTAGTATCGGGAGTGATCATATTGATGGTATATCTTTCCGCCATGTTGAACTATCTGCAATTAAAATACATTATAAGAGGATAACCTAAAGGTAAATGTATAATGAAAGCAATATTATAAAATAGATAAATATAAGTAAGTTGTATCTGAGATTTACCATTGTAAATTAAAGCACAAAGTTCAAGAAAAGGCCTTTTCAATAATTTCATTGTAGACAACATTATATGTCGAATGATCATCATTTTCGTCAATTATAGGTGGTCTAATTAATACTTTGACACTGTTAGAACTTGTTGCTCTTGATAAAGCAACATACAATTGTCCATGAGAGAAGACAGGTTCGCGTAAATATATACCAACAAAATCTAATGTCTGTCCTTGAGCTTTATTTATAGTCATGGCAAAACATAATCATACAGGAAATTGTGTTCTCTTAAAAGGAAGAGGCAATTTTTCATCTTCTGAAGTCATGAGTGGTATTCGTGGAATAAATACATGTGTATTTTTAAAATCACCGCTAGATATTGTTGCACTAATAACATGAGGTTTAAAACCATTACATATTAAGCGTGTCCCATTGCATAAACCTTCACAAGGATTTAAATTTCTTAATAACATAATCGGACAATTTTTCTTCAAAGTTAATTTGTATGGAGGTAAACCAGTAGGATTTAAAGTGTGTAAGAAATCTTCATATTCACTTTGATCCTTTGGATCAATAGTTTCATCTATAGCAATATACATTTTTTCAGTGTTTGGAAATTGAGAGATCAACATGTCATTTATTTCATCAACAAAATCATTTTTAGTTGTTAGAATAGCACGAGAAGTAATAAACGAAGTTTTTGTACAACATGTGTATAAATCAGGATAAGCATTTCTAAAGAGAAGATTTAGAGATTCTTTTTCAGAACTAAAAGGAATAATGAGGGAATGAGGAATTTGAATTTTTCCATGGTCATTTGTTTTTTCTTTTCCATCACCAATTCTCATTAAATATTCACAAATTTCAGGATCTTTAGTTGCACGCATATTCTTCGATAACTGTAACTTTTCAAGTTGATTCCAAATTTCAGAACACAATAAACTTTCACGAATAAATCTTCTTTTTTTCCACTACGAACAACCGGAAGAGTTTGTCTGAAATCACCACTAAAAACAACTATTTTACCACCAAATAACGTATTTGTTTCCATTAGATCTCTTAAAAGTAAGTCAAATGCTTCAACCATTTTCTTTTTTGCCATTGAAATTTCATCCCACACAATTAATCGTGCATCTCGTATTAAAGATGCTAGTGAACTTTGTTTACTAATAATGCAAGTAAAATTTTCATTGACATCAATAGGAATTTTAAATCGAGAATGAACAGTTCGACCTCCGGGAAGAAGTGAAGCTGCAACACCAGAACTTGCAGTTGCTAAAGCTATAAATCCCTTGTGTCTTATTGTAGCTAATAAAGCACGATATAAAAAACTTTTACCAATTCCACCAGGACCATCAATATAGAATGCTCCAAATTTATTTGACAATACTCTATCAAGAATAATATCGTAAGCCTTTCTCTGTTCAGTGTTTAATTTATTTTGTAATAATAAATCTTCCTCACTAAAAATGATATTTCTTTCGTAACGAACTTCTTTAGCTTCTCTTGCTATTGATGAAGGTTTGATATATTCTGAAATTAGTTCAAATTCATTAATGTCACGACCCATTGAATGAAGAACATCATTAATGCAATTTAATACTTTATAACGCATTTCTCTTACATTTAAGTTCAAACTTTTTTTGAAATCTTCAGACATTGGGCGTTCAAATCTTTCCCATAATTCTCTAGAATTTGTTGGATTACAATAAATCAATAACATAGCAAATAATTGTCTTAAACTGGATGGCATTTGATAACTTGCAGCTTCAGACATGCATCCTACCAAATTATTATCACAAAGTAATAGTTCTCTTTTTTCTGCAGCTTCCCTAAATGAATTATATTGTACTCCATTTACAGTTCTCAGATTTTCATATGATTTTGGCCCTCTTACGTTCATTAAAAGAAGTCTAAGATAGTATCTTTCTCCCTCGGTTGGATGACATGTCACTACACGTCCAATAACATGACCTAGTTTACGACGTGTCCACATTTTATCTGTTGTTGACCATACAAAATGTTCTGGAAATTCACGATATAATAAATTTAGGTCCATAGCTTCTTTGTTTGATTTATTCATTAAAAAAAAATCAGTCAACATTATTTTTCTTATCATGGGATTACTTGCAATTTTACTAATATTGTCGGTACTTTTGAAGGAAACAAGTTGTTGTCCATCAAGACGTAGTTGTAGTTGATATACACTTGGACTCATTTCACTAATAGGAAAAGCGAATATTCTCCATGCAACTTCAGGTGGTGATACCCACCTAGCAGATTGATATTCTTTTATTTCATCTATCTCTAGGTTTACATCATTAGTCTGTATATGAAATGCTATTTTATCATGTCCTTTGCAAATGTATTTATAAATGTACTTAACAACTTTTATATCCGAACAAATCTCTACATTTATATGACAGTTGAATTTACAAAGTAAATATGGATTGTAAGGAACAACCCACGAGTTATCAAGAAAGTGTCCTCTAATTTTCACACTTTTTCCTGTATTTCGTCTTCTATAAATTGGGTATGATTTTTTTTCCTTTAGTTGTTTGTTCTACAAACTCTTTAGGATACTTATTTTTACAACGTCCTTTTTTTTTCATACAAGAATTTTTTGGATTCAACTTACCACAAGGACCATGCATCATGTGTTGTGTAACAAGTGAGTATAAATAGGGATATATATTTTCATCTGGTATTTCAGCACATACAAAGCGATCATATGCTTCTGGAATTAGTAATTTGTAATTCTCATTTATTATAATAAGAAAGTGAGCATGGGGAAGCCCTCGTTTTTGAAATTCTATTGTATACATAAATGCTGCAACTTTACCAAATATATGCCTTTTCATTATATCATTTTTCAATTCTTTTATTTTTGCCCTCAACACTCTACTAACTAGATCAGGCCTATTTTGTACCTCATCAGTCGATATAAGTTTTTCTTCTATTTCGGGCCAAGAAGGATTACATGTTATAGTCAAAAATATATCAGATTTTCCAGTACTTCCTATGCACGAAATACAATTGCTATTAAGATGTACATTTTGATTATTTATGGATTTACCCTTGGTCGTCCTTGGTCTCCACCTTTATATATAATAGAAAAATATATATGCACACACATATGTAACAAGAGTTTAGGGTATTATCATCATAGTTAAGCAACCCACTCTAGCAAACAAATTGATAGTAAACACGAATACCTAGTTTGAGCACAAAAGAGACGAACAAGTTTAAGGAAGATGGATACCCAACTTGAGCTTGAAAATGATTTGGGTAAAAACTATAAAAGAATCATATGCTTAATACGGTGATACCTGAGAAGATGAAGAGATTTGAGAGTGTGGTATGAAATTAAGGAAATATTATCTAATAGAAATTGTTATATATAAAATGGTTTATGAACATCAAAAGGCAATTACAAACTTCATAAAAGTTTAGGATATAATCAAACTTCATATTAAGATTTTTATTTTGTGCAATTAATAGCAACATAATTCTTAGAGAGAACTAACAATAGTAATTTTCTTACCGCAAAGGAAAATAACAAAAAATAAATAAATGAGCTCACAAAATTTTGTGAGTGTAGGTTTGAATGCATGAGATTTTCGGAAGGAATCTTGAAAGAGTTAGACAGAGAATATAGAAGTAGATTACAAAGTAATTGAATACACATTACCATGTTTGTTAAGTCATGGATAACCTATTGTGGATAAACTATTTACTGGACCAGACAATAATTTATTATTTCTTAGATATAAATCTGCAACTATATTATTTTATTTTTGCATATATGTGTGAGGACAACATAAATCTTTACATCAATTATAAAATTGGGGGAGAGAATTAAACAAAATAATAATGATGTCAAACCTATGTTTTAGTGGTAAAATTTAAAAGTTCGAAAAGAACTAGAAGAAATTTGTTGCAAAATTGAAAGAAGAACATATCTGGAATTCGTTGTTGTTGGAGTTGGAGCAAGAGAAATGGAAGAACTGATTCTTGTGTTGAAAATATTGCATCTATTTTGTGCTAAAGAGGAAGATGGAGTGTTCTAGAATTATGGAGAGAGTGTATTTGTCAGGTTAAATTTACTATTTTACCCCTGGTTGTCCTTGGTCTTCACCTTTCTATAGAAAAAAAAAATTGTTGGTAAGGATATAAAGCATTAAAAAATTATTTAAGGCATGAATGAAAATTTCTAGAGAAACATAGTTTGCCATTTATATTTGATATTTTTGCCACGTGGAAAGAATTTGGGGACAAGTACAAATATAACAAAAATTAAATTAAAAAAAATTGTGTAAATAACAAATATACCCTTAAAGATCTTTCTAGATCTAGTCCCATTAGATATCCATCTATTCTGCTTCTTCATCTTTCTTTTTCCAAACATGCACCCTCTTATTGTTGTTGTTTCTTCTTTGCATTTAATTTTACTTTCTTGATGAAATATCAATGTAAGGTTAGATTTTTGAAACAAATGGTTAACAAGGTAAGAAAAATTTTGTGGATTAGTGCAGATGAGATTTTTTTATGAAACAAGCCCACTTACTTTCCCTGCAACTCCAAACAATTCCTTCTCTCTCTTATATTCCTATCCCTCGATCTCTAACTATATTTTTTCCTCCAAAATTATGAAAATGTTTGTCCATTTATTATTTCCTACAAAATATTTTCATCAAATTCACACCCTTCATTATATTTGGGAACAAAACTACAGATTAATTGAAAGAGAGAACACAAGATTCTAAGAAAATTGGGTGAGTTGATGTAGACATTTTTATGGATATTGATTATAACTACAGTGTGATATTCGAATTGAGAGACATGTTCATATGGTCTTGAACAACAACCTTAATATAAATGAAGAAGAAAGCAATTGAGAAAT